AGACCCATGATTTGAACTACAAACCATAAATATGGCCTCCAAACTTTTATAAGGTACATGAAAATATGAAAAAAAAAGTTTTTATAATTTATTGTTTTAACATGACAATAGATAATAGATGAAATAGAAATCAATTCCCCCAGTTTTGAAGCTTATGAAGTTTAGAACTGTAAAGGGAAAGAAAAAAAACATTGCTGCGCACCAATACTTCAAACCAACTCCTTTATAGCAGTAGCAAGCGAATCCTCCTTCCTGATACTTCTGACCCAGTTGGCATTAATCCTAACTCTTTCAAGGCTCTGCTTCAAGGTTCTGGAGATGCCAGGTGTGATTCGGGTCGCGAAAAATGCCTCGATTTCGTTTGCCTTCTCATCAGAAGTGAACTGAAAAATGAAAAGGTTGAAGATGATTCAGAAAAGAAAAAAGTGTCAAATGCCCCCCTAACTCTTTGCGGGGCATTTTAGTCCTAGAGTTCTTAGAAATATCAATTTAGTCACCAAAGTCAAGGACTATTATAACCCTGATTAAAAAGAGTATGGCGAATAATTTAGCACTTTAATAAACTCTGGGAACTAAAATCGTCTTATGTCGTCGGGGGACTATGTTGGCACTTTACTCGTTCAGAAAAGGAGAATTTACAGCAGAAATGTAAGATAAGAGAATATAAGAAAAGTTCGGCAACAAACCGAAGAAACGATGCTGCTAACAAAACGTGTAAGCAAAAACCCAGATCCCCAAGTCTTTGAGATGTAGTCCCAGTTTTCCTGCAACAAGTTGAAGAAATGATCAGATAACTTGATAGCAGTGCTTCAATGGGTTCAGCAGAACAAGCAAGATTCAAACATTTTAGTTAGATGTTTGACAATTTCTACAAGGGAAATTTACATAAATACCACATAATTCCTATTTATTTACATATCTCATCAAAATTTTGATATTTATACTTATAACATCTTGGTGTCATAAACCTAAGCATTAAAAGCTATATTTCACTTTTAAAAAGATAGTGATGAGAATATTTTTGATGTTATGTTGAGAGATTGAAGTGGCGATGATAAAGATTTGAATGACATGCATGTAAATATGAATGTTTAGATGTTGAATAGCTGAAAACATCAGAATTGTATGGTACGTGTGTAGATGTCCCTTTCTACAAAGTAGAACAAGCTTTTCACGGTACAGGAGGCTGGTATGTGATGAATTTTGTTAACAAGCTTCCCATGTTGGTTTATTTTTTTCTTCTTTACTTTTGGAACAAAAGAAAGGGGACCACCAAGACTTTGGACAAAGCTGGTGATAAAAAATCAGAGGAAAATAAACCAAGTGAAACTTTATAGACATTCATCTTAGGGAATGGAAACTCGATAATTATTGATGAATATTGTTTTAAGATCAGGCCATATATAGGTGTTATAGATTTTGGAATTGAAGAGTGATTATGAGACGAAATGCTAACAACATAACTCCTTGACTTAAATCTACTTAAAATTGAGAGCCCCTTATGATTAACATAAGATAACAATAATATTAAGGGGACCTAAAAAATTAGATTCATAAAATGTCACTAGACTAGCTATGTCATACAAATCCTAGTGTTGCACAAGCAAAGTTGATAATTAGAACAAAGTGGGGGATAAAACAAATAGTAAGATGGAAATGTGTAAATAAAGAAAGATGAGAGAAAATTATATCAAAAATATTGCAGGGAAGCACTTCATGAAGATTTAGTCGAAAATAAATTTAAGTGGTTCATACATGTACAACAGAAAGTAAATGTACTATTAAGTACCAAGTATGGGAAACACTTCAATTCTACACAAGGAGGCTTTTGATTAGAGTTATAATCGCCCTACATTTTTGTTTCAATTGATTGCTTATCAATTCCTTTCAACTAATTTAAATTTTAAATAAATGCAAACTTAATTTAATTTATTTTCTTGTTTTGCTTCCGCTAAATTTAAAAGGATCATTGTTCATATATTCATGCAACCTGGTGAGAACAAAACTGGAGGATAAGTATTACTTACACTCCAAATTCTACATGATTTAGGAATTAGATTTGCAAACCCCAACTTGTATGTCTCCATGGAGCCTGAGAACAATTGACATGTCACGGATGATCCCCAACACCATAGGTTCTCAAAATGCTCATAATAAACTAAATGTAAATTATGTTGGTTCATGTGAAGTTACGAGTAATTTCTGTAGTCGTGTTAGCCAATGTATTTGCTTTAATCAATTTGGTGAAGTAATCAATCATCGTAAGAACAAATTTTCTTTGACCACTCACTAAAAGAAAATGACCAACAAAATCCATTCCCTATAGGGCAAGCGGCCATGGATTGTAAATTAATTGCAGCTTATACAAGGACTAAAGTTGCATCCAAGAGAATATTTGGCACTACACATAACATTTACAAATTGTTTGACATCTCCTCTAAAATTGGGCCAAAAACAACCTACCCTCAAGATTCGATGTGCTGAAGTTATTCCTCTAAAATGACTGGTATTCTCCTGAATTAACTTCTTCAAGAATCTTTTCAACTCCTTAATTTTTTACGTATCTCAAGTTGATCGAAATAAATTATTTTCTTAAAAACTCCCCATCAATGAGCAGATACTATGTACCTTTGATTTCAAATCTTCTCTTCGAATTTGTAATAAAAGATTTTTTTTTTTACTTCAAAAACTTTGCAAAAGAATTAACCCAAATCACCAAAGTTTCCTCTTCAACTTAAATATTCTCTACTTCCTTAATGTTGGGATGAGAAAAATCCAAAGCTAGTCTTTAGTTAAGAATTTTAATTTTGGAGAAAAGGTCGGTGACTTAACTTTGCTCTATTGGGATCTTTTCAATTTTAACGTATTCAAACTTTCTAATCTTCATCGTCATTTTAAAGAGATAATTTTGCAAGATCTCTCTATGAACTTTATATTTTCCAGATACTTGATTCACCATAAATGAGAATTTGACAAGGTAGTTAGATGTTTTGCCCTAGCTTCTACTATGAAATGCAATCCAACAATCAATGCCAGATAGTCCACCAAGTTATTGTTTATTTCCAAACCAATCTCAATACATGTGTTAACATAAACACTCTCAATTTCAACTTCCGTTATTACTAAGGCTCCATCAATATATTTAGTTTATAACCAAATGTATTCTCCATTTACTCTCCCTTTCTACTTTCAAAAGAGTAAAGACGACAAGAAGCTAACGTTTGCATTTTAGTTGCACTCCGTAGCGCATAAGAAATCTAGAAGCTCAAGCCCACTAACGATTTCAATATCATACTGAGTGATAAAGATTGGCCAATACATTTATAAGTTGGTGGCCAGTGATGGCTTTGCTAGAGTACACCAAAACATGCCAACTTCACCATGATAGAGTATCTCAATTTCGCTACTCAAGAAAACTTGCTCCTAACATCTTATCGAATAAAAATAAAGCTTGCGATCTCCTCTTCTACCCTTGAGAAAAATACTAAATCTTCGCTTGGATTAAGATAATTTACAGATAATAGTAACAAAGAGAAAAACAATTTCAAACTCTTGAAAAATATTTCACATTCAACACTTCTTATTCTTCGAATGTTGTATCCGATAATTTAGATAGAAAATTTTCAAGGAATATGGTGACCCCCATAATAAAAAAAAAACCAACAGTTAATTTTTCTAGTGACTTCGCTAGGAATAGATCCTCTCTCCATCTCTAGTTATACATTAATCTTTCTTTTCATCAATGATATGTTTATACTCTCCTTCAAACTTTGATCACCGATCATTTCCCTGTTGGAATTTCTTTCTAATAAGTGATGGGAGGGGTCCATATTCTCAATCTTTTGATAATGTTTATTCTTGAATTCGAATTATTTTGATCTTTTCAAAATTTTGAAGAAAGTCAAGCATTTATTTCTCAACTTTGAGATGAAGAAACTTAATCCAATAATTCTTCCGATTAATCATTGTAAATCCTTGGTAGTTCTTGGAGAGAGCATTTCCAAAATAGCATTCAGCTTGTCTGGATTGATCTTTATCCCATCCAATGTTAGTAGAATACTTGGGAATTTGCCTCAAAAATGGATTTCATAAGATTAAGATGCATATTAAATGTCTTTAACGTGACAATAGTCTCCCTAAAATCAAGAATATGCTGCTTCAGAGTTTTATCCTTCACCAATAAAAAATTCAACAGAGACTTCATTTTTTTCACTTTTATTGTTTGAACATGTAATCCAACATTCGCTAATAAGTAGCTCATGCTCTTCAGGCCAAAATACATCATGCTATAATAATAAAGCACTTTCTGATAATGAATGCAATTTTTTGCAATATGTCAGACACATTTTTATTCAAAATGCACCAAGAGAACTCATAATAGAAAGCTAACTGCTTAGTTGACTAAATACAACAATTATATGAAAAGTATAATCATCTTTTGAGCAAATCAAATTCAAATTCGTAAATCTATACGTGTTATTGGTCCTTCGATTTTTGCACAATCACCAAGTCTAAATCCAATATGAATATTGAGCTTCCCTGATGAACCCTACCCCAAGAAGTTACTAAAATTCAAATCATATTTGCTAATAAGCTAAACTAGTAGTGATCCGAATCTTATGTTTGATGGGCCTTGCACTTTTCCCAACATTTATTCAGTGACATGCAATGCTAATGTTTAATGTCGGCATTTCAACTGTTGACCATATATAAAAAAGCTCAATATTTGTTCAAACAATTCCTCTTAATATCCATTGCTAAAATAAGTACTAATGTGGAGAGTTCATACAATGTTTTTTCAATACTTAAAATTTCTTATTCTTCTTCGAAAGTGTCCACTCTACTCCACTCTTGACTTTCAATTGCAGTACCTCTACTTGTAGGCTCCCTGCAACCTTCAGGAAACAAAGTCTTGACAACAGTAAGTTATCTCTTACAGTGACCACTTTCCAAATTTCTTATATTTCTTCGAAAGTGTCCAACTCTACTCTTCACTCAACTTTCAATTGCAGTACCCGTACTTCTATGCTCCCAGCAACCTTCAGAAAACAAAGTTTTGGCTACAGTAAATTATCTCTTATAATGATCACTTTCTCTCCAACCAAACAATTTGCTTGAGACATGGGTGAAGACTATAGCCTTGAAAGTGTGTAAAATGGTCAACCAAAAAATTCATAGTATGTTGTTAGAAGAGTCTAATATTATAAAGTAAGCCATGGTTGTGTAGTGGCATTCCCATCTCTTCAAGTAATAAGTATTACAATCATCCATTCCCCTTCTTTTCATTCTTGAAAAAAAAAACAGAGTGGACCCCAAGTAAGTGTCATGCAAGAAGCGCCCAGTTTATCTCCTTAAAAGTGCTTTTGAAAACAATGTTCGCGGAACTTCTTAAATTAATTAAAATACTTCCAATCTGGTAATTAGGGATTATGGCAGTGACAACTAAAATATCGTTGCATGAATCCATTAAAAATAAGTTATTTGCCTCGATGAAATTAACAGGCACAACTTGAGCATAAAGGTCTCCAAAAGTGTTCTGTAAGTTTCTCATAATAAAAGTTATTTGAGACTTCCTTGCCAAGAAACTTCTGTTCTTGTCCAAGAATAGTCGGTATCACTCCACTTATGTGAACTACTTAGTCGGAATTAGCTTATTCATTTGATTCTTTGTGGATGTAATCCCTTGTATTCTCTCCAGATCCTCCAAAACAAATTCTTTCAACTTCCCCACTTTGATCATATCCTACACCAACTTATAGAGATG